TATATATATATATATATATATATATATATATATATATAAAGTATTGTGAGTTATTTATACGCATATAATGATTAATGATTTTTTTCTTGCACTTTTCTATAGGCTAAATTTACAATTAAATAAGCTGGAATATTGTTTTTTTAAATTACGTTTATCATATTGGATGTAATATATATTTTGGTATGTATTTTTTTTTTTGTGAATTATTTATTATTTATTTAGGAATTTCAAATACGTTTTTTATTTTACAGAAAAAATTAATTTAAATGTAACCACAACAATGACATCTAATCACGTTAAATAGTCAACACATTATATGGTCAGTTGTAAGTAAATTAAAAGTTTAAAATGATTTTTGTTATTTTAAAGTGATTAGTGTTGATTATCTAATAATTAAATAAGATTTTAAATAAATAAAAAATAATAATTTTTAGAGTAAAAAAGTTATATTGCCACATATGTATTATTTAATAGATTTTATTAAATGTTAATGGGCCAGTAATAATACATATATATATATATATATAGATTATTATTATTAGTAATTCTTGATTGTCCCTATGTGAAATCGAGTCGAGCTGAGTTTGAGTTCATGATACTCAACTTCGAGTTTTTATTGAGTCGAATTAACAATATTTAATTCATTTAATTTATCAACATTAACGAGTCGAGTTGTTCGTGTAACAACTCTAATTGTACGTTGTCACGTGGTGGAATAATATATAGATATATATTTTATGTGTATGGTTGCTCATTGAAAAATAAAGTAATTAGTTACATTCAAAGAACAATAATTAAAAAGGAAAAAAGAAAATGAAACTACTTTTTAAGCAAATGATTTTGTTTTTTCATCATTTTTTGAACAATAATAATAATAGTGTCATCAAAATGCAATAAGATGTTAGGTGCACATTGAGCAAGTCCTATTAACCTTTTCTTGGGCACATTGACATTCTTTATTTGAATAATTTAGTAGAGTTACATATGCCATATGATGAAAGTCTAATAGTGAGGGCGCATGTTGCCCAGTCCAATTGACAATTTCCTCCTAATTTCACTTTCTCATTGTCAGAAAAATGTACATTTTATTGTAGACTAAAGTCTGCCGGATTAATTTTGTACTATATCTTGATAATGTTATAGTAGGATTAGAAATACATTTTGATAGTGAATTATATTAGGATTATAAATATTTGGACTGTAATTAGTTTTAAATATTTTTATTATTAGAGAAAAAAAAATCCTCATCTCAATACGAAAACAACTAGTCAAGACTCGTATGCAATGCTTTTCGTATAGGAAAGTGACCTGGTTTGGCATTTGACCGGTTTAAAAATATATGTACTATCATTTTCATATAAATATTAGTAAAAATAATAAAGAGAAATAACTTCATATAAATTATATACCTTAAAGTATCATTATTATTGTTGTCATCGTAAATATTATCACATAAACATACGCATATAAGTTTTATTTAAAAACTTAATTTATATTAGAAAATAAACAAAGGGTTGACCACCTAATTTGACCGAATTAGATGCCCGGTCGAACAGATAAAAATTTTAAGTTAGATGGAAAGCAATTCAAACCGATTCGAATGGGTTCAGAGTTGACCCGTCATGCTCGTTCGGGTTTTAAAAAGGGAACAAAATACTGTTCATATGGCAACTATGCATCTGGGATCGTCTCTTGCATGGAGCATAATGTTTTCCTTTGCTGTGTGGCGCTTATGGACGTGGCGTAATGATCGAATTTTCAACCATCTTTCTTCGAGCAATACCGCGAGGCATTTGGAAGTTATTTGTTTCACGGAAACCTACAGTCGGGCGGCTGAAGCCCACGTCTGTGTTGGAGCCAATTTATATATTACCCGAATTATTCATCGGGTTCAGCCGGACACGGGATGGGTAAAGGTAAATACGGATGGGGCCTTCGACAACTCGACTGGTTTGAGCAGCGCCGGAGGTTTGATCAGAGACGAGTTTGGTAGATGGAGGGATGGCTTCTTTATGAACATTGGCTACTGCACTATTACGGGTGCCGAGCTATGGAGACTCCTGCAAGGGTTGCTTATGGCGTGGGAGCTAGGTTTTCGGCAAGTCATTGCCGAGGTAGACAGCCAGTGTGTAACGAAATTGGTTAGTGGCACAATGGATAGGTATGGGACCCATGCCGCACTAGTTAAGGCCATTCGGAGCATTTTACATCGAGAATGGAGCGTTAAGCTCCAACACGTTCATAGAGAAACCAACTTTGCGGCGGATCATATGGCGAGCTTAGGGGCATCCTATTCGGTCGGACTACATCGTATCGCGTCTCCCCCTCCTGGCTTGGGAGTATGACTTCAGCATGATCTTATTGGGGTTTCTTACCCTCTTCGTGTCCTAGCTTAATCACTCTTCTAAGGCTCTGACCTTCTTTCATTGTACAGAAAAAAAAATCACCATCAATTCGAACAGGGGCATATCTGTAAATTCGACACAACTTGTTTGAAGACTTGGCCCACTTTTGTTTGAAATAATAAAGTCGTACTTACGTCTTTACCTGAGGTTTATTGTTACGTGAGTAGCTGTAATGCCAACATGTCGACTTGTCATTGGTCAGTGCATATTGGAGACCGCATGACCCCACTCGAGACGCAGAGCATCTCCTACGTTCACATTTGCTGTCTCATAGGAGTATATAATTAGGACTTAGATAGTG